AAAAAAAAAAAAAAAACTAATAACTAATTTGGTTGAAAACGACAACACTCCGAGCCCCTAAAAAAGCCTAGCCAGTAAAAAATAAATAAAACCCATAAAGTATAATACTAATCCTTGCAATAATTCTGAAAATATCGACTGTGTCCTAAAATCTTTGCCAAGACAACTTTCCTGTGTATAATAGCAAAGGGTCTTAAAAAAATATAATCTCACCTGTTCTTTCAAAGCGGTAATATGGCTCAAGTAAACATGCGCATCACCCAAAGCATGATGTAGGTCACCAGGCTAAAAGTTTCAAAAAAGAATTGAAAACACACTGTGCAAGACTGCACAGTTATTCACATCAAACGTGTAAATGAAAAAAATGAAGTGGCAAAGAAAATAATCACCAGTCAGCAAAACTCAACTACTATTACTCACCTTTAAATCACAAACTCGAGCTATCATATGTGTAAGAAGACCATAACTAGCCAGATTGAAAGGCACTCCAAGCCCCTAAAAAAGTCGATATGAGCCTGTAAAGAGTTGGAACAACATAGCATAAGAGAAAGATTTGGATACAAAGCGCTCGCGCGTTAGCATAAGTCATATAAATATTAGCAGCTAACCATATCGCCAGACCTCTGATACAATTGGCAGTGAAGTTCTCCGTTCTTCACTGAAAACTGCGCCAAAGTGTGGCAAGGGGGCAACGCCATCAAGCTCAAATCTGAAGCAAGTATCAAAGTTCACATTTACGTAGAACAAAAATAATCCTAAAATTCTGACTAAACATTTACCTTGAAGACCATAAACTAACCTTGAACATTCCACGAAGAAAGAATAATTCTGCGGCTATTGGGTTCTTCCTTTACTAATCGGATGACTTCTGCCAGTTGGTCAATCCCTTGGCCCTGGTAATTCTCACCAACCCCCCGATAAGTAGCACCCCAGTGTCTCCACTAAATTTCAACTAGCTGGTCCAACACGTACTCTGAGAAGAAAGCTGGAGAAAATAATATAAAGCAAAAAAAGGATTACTTGAAAACCGTAAATAGGTCCCAAATCCCCTTCCGGCCGACTGGTAAACCCAAGGCTGTCAAGAAATTGGCGAGAACCGTTAGCGTCCCAAATTTTAACATTTTTAGCTGACAAAGTTTTAGAATTCGTTTCACCACGAATGAACCACAATAATTCTTCAACTACTCCCTTCCAGTACACTCGCTTTGTGGTGATTAAAGGCAAAACGCCTAAAGCTATCAATAACAGAATAGACCGATAGTCTTTAAGAAAATTAGAACAAACTTTTATCTTTACCGTCCCCCAAAAATTCATAAAAAACCTTTGGCTAGAGTTACTCTTCTGCCTATTCTCCTAAATCCTAATTAAAATGGCGTACTGACTATATAAAGCTTAAAAGGTACAAAAAAATCACTTTTTGTGGAAAACCAATCAACAATTCTCAGAGACTCAAAAGAAACTTGCCGTTACGCAACGAATACGTTGAATGAAGTCCAAAAACTGACAATGTACCCACACCAGTACGATCCACAATTTCAGTGCCAGTTTCCATTATGTGTTTGATTTGGCTCAAGTATTGTTCTTCCTCCTCATTTCCTACACCATCACAATCGTCGCTAATCAACGGCACTGAGGAAACCATTTTAATGCACAACCCTCTTACGACCTAACTGGAAACAAGGTTTTAAATCAAGGGCATAGAAATTCATCGTGCCGACACCTCGACTCCCGTAGTCACATCAAGATTCCTCCAAAGAAAGAATAAAAGTCAATTAAGTCCATCTATAAAATAAGTAAAAAAAAATTTTTTTAATTTCCTTCTCTTGTTTATTTTTTATTTATTTTTATTAATTTTCGAAACGATGAACGCAAATGGTAGCCTAATAAATTTTTCTTTTTCTGCAAAAGTGAATTTTCTTTTGAATTCATATGAAATCCTCCAAAAAACCACAAAGAAGAACAAAAACGATCTAGAAATAATGCTCCATTAACCACCTTCTTTTTTTTCTTCCCCTGTCTCCAAAATTTCTGGGATAGAAGAACACTAAGTCTTACACTCCCTTGTTAAGGAAACTTGACACTCTTGAATTTACGCAGTATAAATATATCATCGATGTCAAAATTTGCGTGAATGTGCATAATGAGGGTTCAACCGAGACGGGAGGGCAATAACATTATAAGGAAAAGCAGGTATATACGAGGATACAAATAACAAGTGAAAAAATAAATCCGAAGATACAATAGGCGATCACTTCGAAGGCAGCAGAAACAAGCTCCTTCTTTGAAATCACTAAAAATGACCCACTTTCTTCTCTAAATATCATATCAAAGGGTGCCTTCCAATCTTGAAATTCCAAATTCGCGATCTGCAACACTTCCCCGACACAAAAGTCCGGTTCTTGAAAACGGTAGTTTAAAAGGATTAGAGAAATCGTCATAACGATCCAGGAGTTACCTCTGATGAAACGCTATGTGGTTCGCTGCCAACACTTGAGGCTAGTACCGACCATCCCATCTTTAACCCTTTGAGCGAGTCTTCACTGGAGAATGGTTCAAACAGAACTGGAAAGAAGCAAACGAGAAAAAAGCATTTTCCATGACCACAACTCATGACTGTCTTCTCAGTTTCAGTTTGAAATGCCAATAATGGTAGTCAGTAGTATTTAAAGAAGTAATGCAACATGCGATATTTCTAAAAGAACATCTTCGTCTAGTTTCCGAAAAAAAATTTGAATGTTCATAGGAAATGTTTTCTGAAATACCGTTTTCCCGAGGAAAAAATTTAAGGAATTCAAAGTACAATCTGTAAACAAATAAAAAACTTTAAAATGTGAATAAACTCTCCTCTTTTCTTTCAACAGTAGAGAAAATGGTCATTGTAATTTTAATTCATTTGAAGGCTTATCTAAATCTTGACTTACCTCCAACTCATTTGTGACCAATGACGTCTGTTCAGATCTCACTGATTTTCTTTTGTTATCCATCGGCTTCTCTAATATAAAAAAACTACTGCAGTTTTGCTGGCCTTCCCAAAATCCTTCCTAAGCTTGTCTGAGCTTTTGCCTCAGCAACTGAGAAAGAATAAACAACGCTGGGGACTGAGCTAATACTATAAAGTTACAAAAAAACTTCCTATCCATCGCCAAAAAAACCACCACCAAGTCTACCTCGCGATGCGGCACAAAGGGTGAAAGGACATTTTGGCACTGGGTTGTTAGAGGCCTAGAAAATATGCAAAAAATCCCACAAATATAACAGACCAGTCAAGCCGGATCGACGATCCAAGACTTCCTTGGTTCAGAGGCGCTACATGCACTTCATAATCAAACGAGGATAATAACTTTCAAATAATTTACGTATAAAATATAAACTTTTGACTCTAAGATGTCGTCAGAAAAGGACCATACAAACGGCCAAACGGCTCGCCATCCCCACTCTGTAAGCGTAGTTCTGGTGAAAAATAAAATTAATCTCTTAAAATCAATCGCTAGCATCAGAAAACTTCCACTATAAACCAGTCTTTTTGGGGCGTCCAAGGGCTTACCATCGCTTCAAATCTATTATTGCAGTCAGCCTTCACTCATGGGAACTGTCTACCACGTCAAAAAACTAAGTCAAAAGGAAAAATGAACTAAAGGTGGTGCACCAACGAAGTGCTAATACAGTTAAAGCTGAGGATGAATGGGTAGATTTCGTCAGACTAAGCGATCTTCTTACTTGTATCACCTCCATTGTGGTTTTTCCCGCCATTTTTCAGAACGACTTGTTTAGCCTTAAGTAGGAGGGCGGTACTTGCTTAGATAGGTAGATGCACACGCGACGCGTTCTCCATTTACAGGAAAGGCAACTGGACATATTATACTCATCAGTAACGAAGCATATTTTACTCAATA